CTAGGGCAACCGGCGTTGAACAAGGAGGGCATTATTTTCACAGTCAAGGACGGCAAGGCGAGCTCGTCCAAGGCTGTTGAAAAGGATGTCGTCCAGGCAATCACCCTGGAGGAAGGCGACATGGTGGACGAGCGGCGGCGGTGTCTACGAGCACTGCAGGACGTCACCGTACAACCAGGCGAAGAGGCGATGATGGAGGTGGACTTAGCAAGGCATCCAGAAGGCGACATGCTGTGGATACCACCGAAGATATTCGAGAGGCAAGGCGTTCCTGTGGCGATACCCAATCAATTCGTGAAGGAAGGCGTAGACAATCGGGTGATTGTCAGGAATTGTGGCGAGATGGCGGTAAAATGGCGACAAGGTGAAGTTCTATCCAGGGCGATTGTGATGGAACTGGAGAAATTACATATAAATCAGGTGAGTGGCGATAAGTATGTAGAGAAAATGATGGATTTCGGGAATGTTGATGTGGGCGAATTGAATGATGGCGAAAAGGATCAATTACTGAATCTTTCGCAGCAAATGGTGATTTGTTTTTCTCTTTCAGAAGATGATTTGGGTTTGACACATTTAGGTGAGATGCAAATTCGTACTCATATTGATAAATCGGTGTTTTATCGACCATATAGGTTATCCCATGCAGAGAGGGCGATGGTGCGAGGAAAGGTGCAACAACTTTTGGATGGCGGCGTTATTCGAGAAAGTAATTCTGAATATGCGAGTCCTATTGTTTTAATTTCTAAGAAAAATGGCGATGTGCGAATGTGTGTGGATTATAGGGCGTTAAATGCTATTACGGTGAAAGATCGGTATCCTTTACCACTTGTTGGTGATCAGCTGAGTAAATTGGCGGGTAAATGTTACTATACGACGCTGGACCTGGCGCAAGGATACCACCAAGTCCCGATGCATCCCGATTCAGTGCATAAAACGGCGTTTATCACTCCGGATGGACATTATGAGTATCTTCGAGTACCATTTGGGTTGGCGAATGCTCCGGCGGTATTTCAGCGGGTGGTCAACAAGATGTTAGGTAATATGAGGAATGACAAAGTTCTGGCGTATATGGATGACTTGCTCATACCATCACGAACGGTGGAGGAGGGTTTGCAGCTACTGAAGCAGGTGTTGCAGCTGATTGAACAGGCGGGTGTAAAATTGAATTTGGCGAAATGTTCATTTTTGAAGGACAGGCTTGAGTATCTAGGACACGAGGTGAGTGCTGAAGGTGTTCGACCTGGCGTAAGGAAAACTCAAGCAGTGGAGAATTTCCCAGTTCCCACAAATGTTCATGGCGTACGGCAGTTTATTGGGTTGGCGAGTTACTTTCGTAAATTTATCAACCACTTTGCCATAATAGCAAGGCCGTTGACAAATCTTACAAGGAAAAATGCTGTTTGGTGTTGGGATCAAGCCCAGGCGAAGGCGTTTGAGACTCTGAAAGCAGCATTAGTTCAGCGACCGGTGTTGACGTTATATGATGGTGAGGCAGACACAGAGTTGCATACTGATGCAAGTCAGATTGGATTAGGTGGAATTCTTTTGCAGAAGCAATCAAGTGGTGAGCTCAAGGTGGTGGAGTATTACAGCAGGGCGACTACAGCGGCAGAGCAGGCGTACCATAGTTTTGAATTAGAAACTTTGGCTCTAATAGATTCGGTGAAACGTTTTCGAGTGTATTTGGTGGGAATACATTTCAAGGTGGTCACAGATTGTTCGGCGGTTAGGGCGACTATGCTTAAGCGAGATTTGGTGCCTAGAATTGCTCGCTGGTGGATGGCGCTGCAGGAGTACGATATGGAGATGGAATATCGACCTGGTGTGAAAATGATGCATGTCGATGCACTTAGTTGAAATCCTGTTAATGTGTGCTTATTGAACTTGTCTGATGATGATTGGTTCCTGACAGTTCAACTACAGGATGACAAGGCGCAGGCGATAGTTACGGCATTGTCACAAGGTGTAGCTGACAAGGGTGTGAAAATGGTGTATGAGGTAGTGAATGGGCGATTGTATAGAAAAACTCTATTGGGCAGACGTTTGTATGTACCAGCAATGGCGAGGTTCAATTTGGTGCGTAAGCATCATGATGATATTGGACATCCAGGCTTAGGGCGGTGCCTGGAGTTGGTGAAACAAACCTATTGGTTTCCGAAGATGGGGCGTTTTGTCAAAAAGTATGTGCAGGCGTGCCTAAGGTGTGCTTTTGGCAAGGGCGATTATGGGAGAGTAGCAGGGAAGCTACATCCCATAGAAAAGGTGGCGATACCTTTTGATACGGTGCACATCGACCATCTGGGGCCATTCTGTCGTAGTACAGCTGGTAACCAGTATCTGTTGTTGGTGGTCGATGGATTCACGAAGTTTATTCTGGCGAGGCCTACAAGGTCGCTCAGGTCTTCTGAGGCTATTAAGGTGTTGAGGGCGATATTTGGTGAGTATGGGTACCCTAGGCGAGTAATCTCCGATAGGGGATTGGCGTTTACCAGCAAGGTGTTTGCTGAGTTTATGGCGGAGAAAGGTGTTAAGCATGTGCAAAACGCTATTGCAACACCGCGGGCGAATGGTCAGGTCGAAAGGGCGAATCGTACTATACTTGGTGCTATTGAGGCAAGTGCAGAGAATGAGGTGAGATGGGACGAAAATCTTCCAGAGATTATTTGGGGCCTTAATCACACTGTTAATAGGAGCACTCGATTCTCTCCTGCACAGCTCATGTTCACGCACCAACACGGTACCAATGCAGATTTAACAGCAGGCGTACAACAGGCGAATGAGGCGACTACGAGTGGCGAGACTATTACGGAAGTACAAGACCAAGTACTTCGTAGGCGAGACCAGGCGAAGAAAAACCTGACCATGGCGAGCAAGACAATGAAAGCACGATTTGACTTGCGGCGAAAGGTTGCAACCGAAAATTACAAGGTGGGCGATTTGGTGCTTTGGTTGAAGGCCGGCACTTGTTCAGGCGAGAAAGGCGTGAATCGAAAAATGATCAACAAGTATGATGGTCCCTATAGAATTGTAAAAATACTTGGTCATGATCGATATCTCATAACTGCAGTTAAAGGTGTGAGAGGTTATAAAAATTTCAAAGCAGTTGTGGCGATTGATTCACTCCGGCGATATTGTAGTACTACACCAGGCGGTGATACAGGCGAAATGAGTGACAGTGGCGATGAGGTGACAGATCGACAAGATTTGATTGACCTGCTGGAGAGTTGAGAGAATATGTGACTAACTAACATTGCACGGTGTGATTGAGCAGCAGGTTAGTTAAATTGGAGTGGCAAATGTGGAGAAAGGGTGAAAGACTGAATCTTGAGTGTTTAGTTGACTGATGATGAATTTTGGTGAATCTGGGTGTGTAAACACAAGATCTGACTCACTTGCGTTGGATCTTAGTTCAGGGAGTTGCGAATTAATGAGGACATTAATGTTTCAGGATGGCCGACTGTAATCAACGAAATTTTGGACAAGGCGGCAACACTGTCAACCGAGCGAGGCGATGACGAGAGAGGAAGATGGGACGGCGCATCTCTGAATTCCTTGGCGCGTGGATAACAGGCGATGCGGCACTAGTCTAGCGAGAACAATCACAGGCAAAACTGTAGTAAATACGTTCGGCGAGTATTGTTTCAATTTGAGAATATACGGCGATAATTGATTGAAAAGGCGTTTGATTAATTAGGAGTGTAACATTATATTTTCGAGAAAAAAACAGTTATGGAAATTACTTGCTGTGTAATGAATTGTGCCAATTTAAAAAAAATTATATGGAAAATCAATTTGAAGAAGGGCAAAATTTGTGAGGTACTCATTTAAGTTCACTACTTATAACAGCATCTGAATAGAATGAAACTATATTTCAGGCCCATTTTCAAGATCTGTTAGAGAATCTTATGTTCCATCAATTCATAAAGCAGGAGAATATTAAGGAATATAAAAGTGAGTCGAAGTATGGGATTGAGAAGTTAGTGAATTTCTTATTATGAATGCAAAACTCTGGTTTCAGTTTCCACAGTTTCAGAAGGTATATTATGTTCTCACATATCTATTATACCTACTTGAATATTTGTGTGGACATGAAACCAATGAGAATATAGTTATTTAAGTATCAAGGGAATTATTATAAGGGGCCTTAATCACGCTGGAGGTTATCGTTTTGGAGATATTTACAATTTTCTATATCGATCCATGTTACTTCGCTCCTAGGGCGCTAAGTGAAGTTGCTGAGAACTTCACAAAATCAAGTATGTGGTAGGTCTCGTCAAAATAAACTACTTTTTTCCTATGAAATGTTCATCGAAAAATGATTTGTTCCCAGTATTTCAACTCTCTGTATCTCCGAAATGAAGCATTTCCGGACACAATAAGCTAATATAGACTTAATTTCTCGAATTTGTCTCAGGAATACTTCACTTGAACGTAGGTACTTTTGTTACTTGCTGTTTATTGAGAATACCTACCTTAAATTGCATATCGATATCTCCAAGTTTTATACTTATCACTGGAGTACAGTTTCACATACAATAAGGAATTAGCTAAGAGTATATCCATATGTGTATATTTTCTAATACTAAAATATTACTCACATGCATTCTTTCCATTTGTATAACTGTTGTTCTGCTGGAAGTGTATCACTATAAATTATATAAAGTGGGTATTTGTACCCTATTTCCATTGTCCATGTACGGTTATGATTGATTTGACAAAAAATATAACCTCTAGAATCGTATCTGACAATCAGCAGCGGGATTATGAACTGTCAACACGTATCGTATCCGCCATTTTAAACTAAAATAGCGATTACGAATTTTCGATACGTCATGAAATACGATCCGAATCTGTCGATACCTAAGAAGCTCTCGGATTGCTTTAAAGTTTGGTTATGGTCAATGTTTTTAAATGTACGAAATGATTTGAATTCCACAAAAGACAAAAGTAATATTATCGATATTAGCAGTGCAATTTTTAACTTTCATTTCATATTTAAGATGGCATTCAAAATGAACGGAAGTCATTGGCAAGTGTTGGTATCTTTTATGGAAAACCACGAATCATTTGCCAAAGGAAAACTCTCTGGGCCAACTGGAAAAGCTGTACAAAGAAAATTGTGGGAACGTTTATCATCTGAATTGAATGCCCTGGTTCTCGCACTGTGGAGAAATGGCAAAAAGTAATGTTTGTGACATGTTATGATTTATAAGGAATACTCAGCTTTCCCAATCAATGCTCACTTTTCCAAATCAATATGAATTTTACTCACAGTGAGGATGAAGAGTTTATATGGGGATCTCCATTCCTGAACATGCATTTAATCATTGACATTCATAATGATTATTCTCTTTATAGAGTTGGGCTGACAATAAATACAATCCCAAGAAAAATGCTGTTAATAATAAGAAAGAGTTTTCTCAGACCGGAGGAAGCCCAGCAAAGGAAACACCTTTGCATGTCTGGATGGGAACAAAAAATTTCAGCCATTCTGGGTGCTACTTTTTATGAAGGTGTCAATAGTAGTGAATGTGGGGTATGATTTGAAGCCTCTATTTGTTAATGGTTGATGAATTTTTTTTTAAATTAAATTCCTAAAGATGTCACAGGACTTTTGGACTCTGGATTATATCATATACTAATACCTCTAGAGTATGATCTTGATGAGAAAAGTCCAATTGTTTGAAATATATTTTTCCAGGTTCAATATATGACCGCTGATGGGTTGGTAGAATCTCCAGGAACACAAGCAACTTCACTACAATCCCAGGTACCTACTGTATTTCTGATTTGTTTGATTTCAGTTGAAAAATTTCTCAATTGTTAGATACAAAGAAGAGAGATACCATCACACTCAGGTGAAACCCCCAAAAAACAAACTTCTCTAGGACCAAGAGAAATTCTACAAGTATACATCTTCAGAAAATACTTATCTCCTCTATTAATTCATGTTTGATTTTCTAGGATTTGAATCATGATCACGAGTATCTTCCAAAAGCAAAAAAGAAAAAAACCCAGGCAGATATTGAAAATGAAATATTCAGTGAAACTCTGTCTGAACTCAGATTGATTAGATTGGAATTACATGGTGTGAAAGAAACTATGGAAGATATCAATAAAACACTCAAAGAATTCTTAGAAAGTTTGCCAAAATGGAGATAAGTACCTACCTATTATTTAATCAAGACTGGAACCAAATACTAGAGACTTCTCAGACTTGTTTTTTTTTATATATATTTTGTAAATAAGAGTTCATACTTAGGTTTTATAATATTTTGTGGTTTATTCAAAATAAATTACAGATGATTATAGTTGAATAAAAGTAAAAATAGAGTTAATAGGTTTCAAATTTGTATTTTTAATGGGGAAATATATAGATAAATAAACAGATGAATCATTCATGAAAATATATTTCCACAACTCTTTGTCTAGCTCTTAGTCCTTCGACATGTTGTAAACCTTGGTGTGGTGCAACTGCTACATCTTCAATTCCATAGTGGCCCTCATTTAAATCTATCTCAATGTTTCTAGAAATGCACATGTTGTGCAGTGCTGAACAGGCTTTAATCACTTCACACATGAAGGTAGGTTGATACCGGCTTGACCTTTCTTTTAGAAGGCATCTAAATCTACCTTTCAATACACCAAAACACCTCTCAACTGTATTTCTAGCTCTCATATGGGCTCTATTGTACCTATCATTTGCAGTGCCTTCTTGAGGGTTCAAAGAAGGGGTCATAAAAACTGGGGTTTGAGGGTAACCAGAGTCTCCAATCAGCCAGCCAGTTTCACCTCTTTCATGGTTATTTTCTATATAATTATGTTTTAATCTGGGAATTATTCCAAATGAAGGAATCATGAGTTGATCCTCCATAATTTGCTAATAAGCTCAGTATCCTCGAATTCGCATCACATATGAACTGATAATTTATTGAATGATATCCTGAAAAAATGAAATGGTGTGTGAAGAATTGAATTCAAGTAGATATAGGTACCTCCATACCTTTTCGATTTATGAAATTATGTTTATCAACTTTTGGCTTTGGTATGGCGATATGAGTCCCATCAATTGTGCTTTCACACCATTCCTACCTGCTACAGTATTTGGGAACATTATGGAATGAGGAACTAAGTTTTCTACAATCACTCTGGTGACTTTATGAACACAAAAGTGAACGGCAGCTTGGCTAAGCCCACAATTATACTCTTCCCCAACGCATCTTTGATATAAGCCTGTAGCATAAAAGCGTATGTTGTCAGGATTTTTTTTGATTCCCTTCTGGTCAGGGGTTGATGTAAATGAGGAATCAATATTCTAAACGAATCCCTCACCATTTCTTGATAGAGCCTATATATTTCAATGAATCTCAATTCTGGTAAATTGAAGGGATCATGAAAATCTCTGATCAATCGACGAGTGGAAATTAATTGTTCATTTTTTATTCTCCTTCGTCGATTTCTCATCACTAATCTTGCAATAGGTAACATCTTGAAAAGCACATAAATGATATTTATTTATTTTTTATGTTTCCTAGTTTTCTAGGCTCTTGCAGTATCAATTTCAATAAATACATACATATGATATGTCTATTATTTTTCAAACATTACTGAAATTATCAAAAACAGTAATACCCAAAAACCTAAAATAATTCTGGAATTCCTTTTGAAATGTCGAAATGTCATACCATTTCTTGAAAATCTCATCCCATCAGTAAAAAAAACGACAACACTGCCTGGTTTCTAATCGATGATAGTTCATAATACCATTTCGATTCGATCCTAGTTCGTATCGAGTAGATAGCGATACGGAAAATCAGTATAGCTTGTGCGCTCAGCCGGCTATACACGCGAAGGCAGCAGATCAGCGGGACCAAGGACGATCCTATACCGAAGCCAGCCGACGGCTACCGACGGAGAGGGGAGAGCTGCCACAAGAGTCTCGAGATCATACCCGTGTGTTCACCGAACACGCCTGATCGTTCCCTAAGCGGTGGGGAAACGTAAACGGGCAGCAGTAACTACGTTATGAATATTGGCGCGTGCCTGAATTATGTTGGAGTCAAATTTGACAATTTAATGTACTTCGAAACGGAACACTAGTAGTTGTGTCTTCTTGTTTTACATATATTATAGGTAGACATCAAATTAATAAACATAGTGCTCTCGCCATCGGTATTTGCTGAACTTCGCTATGGGAAAAATGTTGAATAACTATATTGGGATGAAGAATGATCTATACAGGGTGTATCTAAATAACACCGAAATAATTCAAGGGATGATTCCTTGTGATATAATATGATGAATAAAGGTCATATAAACATGTGTCCTAAACTTGCTTCGTTTTCGAGGTACAGGGTTACGTCCTGATTTCGAATCCGAAGTGATTTTCAACCTATCTTGCCTCCTTATATCATTTTCCGGAAATGTTGGTGGGTTCATGACCAGAGCAGTGTTTTTCACTGAAGATTATTACCTCACTTTGGTCATAGTTGGTATATATATATATATATATATCTAGCGCTCCTTAAAATTGAACAGTTACGTTAGATATACGGGTTGATATTCCATTATAGAAGTGACATGCACACTGTTTATATTTTCAAATAGATCCAGTGGAATTGAATTTTATTTTATGTTGAATATTAGAGTGTGTTTTTTTATGTGATATATTTGTTTTGTTTATTTCAAATATATATATTTTTTTAGTAATTCTGAAATCTGATCCACCCTGTATTTATTTCAATTAAATGGCATCAGTAGATAGTAAATAGAATGTTAGGATAGGGACACATGTAAGCCATTTTGACAAATCAATATAGGTATTGTATAGTTTCGATACAAAAAAAATCTCGATTTTTCACATTCTACGTATAGGTATACCTTGAGCTTGATCAACGAAATCATAGCTCAATTAGAAGAATCGAAATATGTAATAAAATATAAGGTGTTCCATTTTGAATAACAAAGCTGCTACTACTATACTACTAAGTACTACATAACTACCTACTAATAATAATTTCTAGTGAAGCAGATGAACATTATCGAAAATAATTTGAATAAAACGAGCGTCCTCATCGCCAACAAAACATAAGCATATAATATGTACATATAGTTTCATGATTTTCGATGAGTCGTTCGCTATTTACATGTAGGACTCGTCGTGACATAGCGAATTATTGCAAATCAAAACATCGCTTTCATTATCTGATAGGTCGCAGTAGATCACTTGATGCCTATCAAATGTTTCTTATTTATTCGAAAAAAAAAAATGTTGAAATGTGATCAAGAAAACTGTTGGTGGCCCACCCCGTACTACAAAAACAGAGACAGCATGAGAGAAGCTGCTGCTGCCTGCCCAGTGCCCACTCATTGTATCATGGCTGCCTGCTTATGTGTCGGTCTCCCCACCGCTTAGGTAACGATCGGGCGTGTTCGGTGAACACACGGGTATGATCTCGAGACTCTTGTAGAGCTGCCTAGAAGCCAGAGGACTGAAGAGTAGAAGAGCAGTTCCTCAAGAGCGACAGACCAGATAGCCACGACAGCAGCAATGACAGCAGACGAGACCGGACCGACCGACCAGCGAGTAAAGGAGATAGGAGAAGAAGAGCATTAGGTGAGGAGAGAGGAGAGACATACTAAGTGGGTATCCCCGGTATGCAGGATATTGTTGTGTATTGAATATATTGTCTTCTTTCAGCCGTCATGATATTAGTGTGTATCACCTGATCATTAGAGGTGCACGATAGATTGCTTGCGTGCACGCATACTCAGTGGGTAGTTTTTTCTACAAAAAATTATGTCATATCTAAATTTATCGGACTTCAAATTAACATTCATATGGAGTTCACAAGATATTGCTTCATGGTCCGATAAACCTGCATGAACTACTGAACAGAAAACATAGGGGGAAATGGGGTACAATTGGGCAAGGGGTACATTCGTCTTTCCGTGAGAAATCGAAACCCTTTTGAAATTCTCGCCCTGTCTATGTTGCAAAATGTCACCAAACATCAACGATATTTCGGTTGTGAATGAGTGGATGTCTACTGCTTTATGTGCCAAAGTTATTCGAAAACTTGTTTTTCTTGGGAATCGCGGTAAGTTTTTCACAAAATTGTGTATGCAGATCTTTCTCATAACTACAATCATCGTTAACTGTTTTATTGTGGTTTCAACGACACTAGGGTTGTACAATCATTTGTCGTAGACGATTCTAACAAAAAAACTGATAGTTCAGTTTCTAGTACACTGTTCACATTCATCAACGACATGAGGTACATTCGGCTATTGATAATGGGGTACATTCGTCAAATAGCCGAATGTACCCCTTAGTCAAATTATTAGTGTAATGTTTGTCAATTAATGTTTTTTTTATTTCCTAGATGCCCCGTAAATATGTTCGCAAGACCGATAGGGTGAACCCAGATGAAAAAAGAATGTCCTTGGCAATAGAAGATTGCCTTTCAAAAACAATCAAACTGAACGATGTTGCCAGGCAATATGGCATCAAAAGAACCACATTACAATCCCGCATTAAGACTTTGCTAAAGAAAAAACCTTTGAAAGGAATGATAAATGACGATTCTGGAAATAAAAGTGAATCCGATCATTCTAAATATAGTATAGCAAATATACTGCCAAACAAGTGTTTACAATGAATCAAGAACGTCAGCTCAACGAATACATAAAAAAATCTTTACGATTCACACTATGGCTTATCCTATGGGCAAAATCGCATTTTGGCATATGAGTGTGCAAAATCTATTCCGGATTGTGAAGTTTCTGATAAATGGAAAATGAATGAAATTGCAGGTTTGTCTACAAAGATTACTCATTATCTATTGCACTTCAAATACTTATACTTTTTTCACTTCCAGGAGAAAACCGGCTCTGGACCTTCATGAAACGGCATCCAGATCTATCTTCAAGAAAGCCAGAAAGTACAAGTTTTAGTCAATCTATAGCATTCAGTAAACCTGTCGTGGATGCATTTTTCGAAAAATGTGCTTCTGTTATGAGAAGATTCAAATTCCAGCCGAATCAGATTTGGAATCTTGATGGAACAGGAATAACAAAAGTCATGAGGCCAGTGAAGGTTGTATCAACAAAAAGAAAGAAACATCGTTGAGGCATTCCTTGATAGAAAAGGAATAAGAGTG